AGTCCACAAAAGTCCTCCACATAATCCTCAATGTCCCGGTTTCCTTGGCGAAGTCGAACGAGACGATCTGCTGGGTTCATTTTGGTGGTCGTGTATTCTGTAAAGAGTCAATCCACTGAAAGCGAGCATAAGTGAGAACCCAAGTGCAGTTTATTTACAGAGTGATCCAAACATCCAAACAATAATCCGAGAGACAGACTTGACTTGACTTGACATGACATGAACAGACTTGACTTGACTTGAACAGACATAGCATGAGCAGACTTGACATAAACAGACTAGACTCACCAACAGCGGGTTAAATACATTCAATACATGACGAGGGCACAATGGGAACATGAAGCTACTTATAGGAAACAAGAGGGTCACATGACATGAACAAACCAATGGGGAACAAGACACATGACTAAGACTACCAATCAGAACATGACACATACACAAGGCAGAGCGACATGAGGCAAGGGAAGCATGACACTAACATGGATCATGAAACAATTACAAAATAAAAGACATGGAAAACATGAACATGAAACAGAACACCACATTACAGGGGGATACTTTTCTATACCCACTATATATACAAAGTCACTATGTGTACATGAAGGATGGGGGGGAAAAGTAGAATCATCACTAGGATTGTGCATTGTTTTCTTACCAAGAAGTACAAATCAATATAGTAATGCCAAAACTTTTTACTTAATGCAAATGCGAGAAATCTCATTGTGGTTACAGTGAAAGTAAAACCATCAAGTTTCAAAGCAACAACTTTAAAAAGTCCTTAGATAATGGATGTTAAGATAAATGTACAAAAGCTAATGATACAAAGCTAAGCTATGAAAACTTCATTAAATGTAATTTGATTTGCCAAAAGCAAACCCAATGCAAGGCAAACTACAGAAAATGCATTTGTTTAATATTACAAACCGCATGCATGAACCAAATGCAAAGTACATCATTTATACTTTTGTCTATACACTTAAAATATGATAATGTATTTGTTAAGGTTTGCTAACTACAATTGATAATTACAGGTTCCTTAATTTTCTTTTGCAGATTGTCCAGCTCTTCCAGAGATAAAGGCCATTATAATAGGCAGTAAAGCAGAGTAAAAACGCAGTGCAGCTATTACCATTTTTGGTCAGAATTTGGTCAGAACTGTAAAGTGGGCGAAGAGATAATCAAGAGTGAGATTAAACTTTTTTTCCTGGCAGAGAAAAGTTGTGATTTTCCAGAATTCAGGATTGTCTTGATAGGTCGCACAATTGTTGGGAAGACCTCAGTGGTGAACACCATCCTGAAAATCAAACGAGGCCAGCAAAACTAAAAAGTGTGTGAAGAGAGAGGGAGAGGTTGACAAGAGAAAAGTCATTTTAATTGAAACACCTGGATGGTGGCCTTACATGTCTGTAAAAGACAAGGAGTCAATCAAGCAGGAGATCATGTCATGTGTTACTATGTGTCCACCAGGACCTCATGCAGTTTTGCTAGTTCTGCAGTCTGGTGTCGCCTTCACTGAAGCACAAATGAGGCCTTTCAAGGAGCACATGGAGCTCTTGGGTCAAAATGTCTGGAAGTACTGTATAGTGGTGTTCAGCAGGGGCGACTGGATGGGGACCCCCACTATTGAAGAGCACATTGAGAGTGAAGGAGAGGCTCTGCAGTGGCTGATCAATACATGTGGAAACAGATATCATATTCTTAACAACATGCAGCAGGATGATGGGAAACAGGTCAGAGAGTTGATGGAGAAGGTGGAGATGATGGCCAGATTAAACACAGTGCTCCCAGTAGCTGTGGGTGAAGCACTGGAGGAGATGGATGACAAGGATGAGGAGGGAGCAAATATGAGGGAGAAAGAACAAGCTGAGTCTAGAAGCTTCTTGGAGGATCGTCCTTACTGTAAGTAGTATAACATGCTCTCTGCAGACTCCATTAAGCCAGATTGTTATTTTTACCATCTTATCACTGATTTGACCATTGCATGTTGTAATATTGTACATTTCTTAAATAATTAGCAAAATATCCGTATACCATCTGAAAAAAAGTATTTTTTAGCTAAACATATTTCTACAAAACAACATAATCTAACTGTATAAATTGTCTTTATAGTGGATGAATCTTACATTGACAAGTGGATGGATTATTTTGAGTTGTCAGAGATTGAGCAAATTGGAGTGGAACAAAGGCAAGAGTCAAAGACACTAATGGCCAGCACCAGACCTATGGAAAAACAAATTAAACAGTAACAGTGCCGCACATTAACCCAAAAGAGTTAAAGTAGCTGACATTTTCCATTCAAGCACATTAACGTGCATGGACATTGGACTTGGATTATTTCCACCCAGTCATGTATAGACAGAGAAAAGTGGTATTTTTTTTAAACATTGCCAAATATTATTCATATAATATATGGTTTTGTTAGTTACACACATTTTTCATACACACATAGGCCATAAACCTAGGAAATTAAATTAAATTGTGTATTTGGATTTAAATTGAATTACATTTAAAATACATTTACAGAATGTTTATACCACCAGTCCAATTGCACAACAAATATACCTATGCTATCTTAAATGAAAATATAATACATTGTATTGAAGATGTGTCTTTATTTCCTATGCCATGTTGCCACAGACTTATGGATTTTCATTCAATTTTACTCTTCACCACGTGAAATATTACTACAAAACAACATAGATGCAATCTCTGAAAAGATAACTGAATCAATTCAGCTTTGTTCTATCCAAATTGGTTGAAACATCCATTACATACAGTTTATCTTGTGACAAACTACCTTGTGTTTCATATGTACTAGGGACACTATTGTAGCTCAATAAATAAACAACTTCTCAACAAGTAGAGCAGAATTTTTTGATGTGATGAAGGAGGAAGAAGAACCATAATTAAGCAAGTTATTGCAAGAAAAGGTTGGCAAAAGCGATATATTTATTTAACATAATTTTTCTATGATTTTGTTTTACAATTCAATCGCCTACAAAACAAAATCATATAGCCTACTCTTACAGTAACTCTATAGCAATTAAAAAGTCTAATAATTTAGCCAACATGTGAATTGCAAATACAACAGAACGGGTACATATTTACAACATTCTCAAAGAAATAGCATTTTTCTAGTGATTTTCAACAACAACAACAAAAGGTCTAATTAGGCTACGTCATCTAAAAAGAAAGCGAACCTTATGTCACAAACCGAAAGCAAACGCAAAAGCCACTCTCTATTTATTATGTTAAAACAAACGTGACTCGTAATGGCTCGTTAATTACTCTGCAGAGACAGTGTCCGGATTGGACCGACAGACTCACAGACAGACATCCGTCGATGCCGCAGCGCTAGTGTGCTCAACAAAGGCTCAGGCCGGGGAGAGGGCCATTTTTACCAAATACAAAGGAAGCAGAGCAGCGAGGGAGGGAAGGACTATGGGAATGACAGGAATAGCGAAATATCACTTTACGAAATCGCAATGTGCCGTCAAACCAAACACTGAACAATGGGTGAGAAGTGACCAGTCATGACTACAACAGAATATAGTGTGTACTAACGACAGTACAGCAAATAAATAATTTAGATGTCGAACTGCCTGCTCTCAGAGCCGACTGCGCATCACGGTGGCAAAATGCCGGAACAGCACTGATGATATTAGACTCTGACAGACACTGTACGACGTAATCTATCCTAATTTTGAAAACAGCCGTGAAAGATTATCGTCTGCTGGTAAGTGTTTATATCATTTACAAACCGTACACTCAAAATGTCAAGTTACGTCAAAGTATTTCAGATAGTCATAAAAATATGAATCATAACTGGTTATGATCATAGAGCGCGCGCCGGAGGACGCAACAGGTCGCGCGTACAGTAGAGCTGTAGTTCCCGCGTGCATTTGGCTGACGTAATTATGACATTTGTACAATAATTTCACGAGGTGTATTATTGCGTATATTGAAATGCTAGCTAAACACTTTATTGTGTTTTGGCATGAATATCACTTTAATAAACAGTCTCGTTCCCTGTTCATCTGACGTTTTGATACAAATGGTATAATGATGTGTCATGTCTAAGTATTGTGTGCATAACCAAATGCTGTGAAAGCCAAATGAATACAAAAAAAGAAATAAAGAAAAAAGAAAAGAAAAACATATAAATATAGGCTATAGTTCTGTTAAGGACAATGATGTATTATGGTTTGTTAAAATAAATACCATTATTTTTCGGATTAAGCTACTGAAATCTCCCCTGACAACAGGACACATCTGTATTACAGACAGTCAAAATGTAGATTGTTTCAAATTCTATTATCAGGCCTAAATTTGATTAATGTAGTGATGCCACTGACATGAGATCATCTCAGGCCTTTTTTGAGTTCTAATGAAGTTAATGCAGGCCTGTTGAATGCATGACTTTAAAGAGCTTAAGTTTAAAGTCAGATTTAAGAGAATATGACATTATTAAACAAATATAATATAATACAATATAACTTTGAATACATGTGGTCACCTGACAGATTCTTTGCAATAAGCTATAAGAAATGTATTAAAAATATATGAAATAATAATAAAAAATGTCTATCAGTGTTTACCAAATTGCACTTTATAATTTATCTCAGCCCTTCATGCTCTTACCTGGTTTCCAGTTATTAAAAACTTAGTACTGAGACTTAAAAAAGGTTCAGGGGAACGCCTCAAAACTTGGGGGTGTAAGGGAAAGGAGGGGTATATGCATGAGTAGGTGGTGTTGTGCGTTATTTGAATGCAAATGCAGAGAGAACAAGCCGAGACTGTGTTTGAGAGAGAAACTGGGAAAAGGAGGTGGAGAGTTGTCTTTGGATTTTAGTTAGACACTGAATAGATACTTTTGAGACATTGCTTGCTCATGTATGCCCTTAGCATTTGGCCTTGTAGCTCTCTATATAAATGAAACATGGGTTTTTATTTGTTTCTCAGAACTGATGCAGTGAGATTTACTGTAATTTAGCTCAAAGAGAAAGATTTTCAATCTATTTCAACCCATGGGCCAATTAGCCATTGACTTTCCCCTGCATCATGTCACGCCGGAAACAGAAAAGACCTCAGCACTTTTTCAGCCCCATCCTCAACACTTCGTGGCTACTTCAACATGGTGAGAAATGTTTTACTGTTTAGTAAGAGAGGTCCATTGTTTCTGTCAGTGAGCCATGTCATTTGAGATCATTTGCTGTGACATTAACAGATTCAGATGTTTAAAATATCTGATCTTATTTTAAGAAAAGGAAAATGAAACAAGGTAAAAATAAAAGGAATTTCTGTAATATTTGGACATAGTTACATCCCAACAGCTTCCGTCGAATGTTCAATTAGTACTTTTCATCTTCAGACCCAAGCTGGGAATTTAGACCGTCCACGATATTAAATGTATGGCTATTGAGAATGATTAAAAAGAAAAGAAGAACAAATAGCGAAGCGGACATAAAAGTAACAGAGATGTGTAATATGCTGAACTGGATTTTGAAAAGGGGATTAGAAATTGTTGTGGAAAAAGGTGGACAACTTTGAAAAAGAAGGAGACACTTGAGTGCCTTAACGGGAATGGCATGAGACTTCATTGTCTCCGTGAGGCTTTGTGGTCGTGCAGTCAGGCATTAACTGCCAGGAAGTACGTGCATAAGAATGTGTTGATCTGTGACTTAAATTCTAGAGTTCTTGAAGTACAGGCAACACTTTATGCATCTCTCCCTAGTATATGAGTGTGTATATTTGTATTCATGCTATTATGTCTTCTGTAAATCACATTAGTTTCTGGATATGGCTCTGATGCTGAAGGTCAAGCAATCTAGCTGTTTTCAGCATGTGACAACAGCACTAAGGCTCACTGACCTTTTTAGGCTTCGCTGAGTTAGGACGGAAGATTTGTTTAAATATATGAGATGTAATAGCATATATTCACTTACTCAGACTAGTGGGTGGGTCGGTGAAGGGGTTTGGGAATTTTGTGGCGAGGTTCATTGTCCGTGTTCATTGTTGCTGTGGAAACAAAGTTGGCTGTTAGTGGTGCTAAAAGCATTGTAAGCTGGTTGAAGGATGGGATTTCAGATCAGAGGGAGTGAGGGGATAGAGAGAGAGAAACAGAGGAGGAGACAGCAATGTACAAGACTGGCTAAAACCGAGGTGGAAATTAACAGTACACATTATGTTCTTCATACTTTATGAGATATGGTAATAGAAACGTATATTAATATTAAAAAGATGTTGCTGAAGGTTTATGATGATGGGAGTTCAAGTGGCACAGTTGGTGCCATTGATGGGAGCCTTGGCAAGTAGAGCAATACTACACTTTGGTTGGCCTTTAATACAAATACAGTGTTTCTAACAAGGTCAGCCAGAGGTAACCTCTCCATATGCTATGTTTCCTTGGTGACGCTTGTGTAAGCAGTGAGTAGAAACAATTGGACAGCAATAAAGATAACAACCTAAAGAAAAATAAAAGTACTAAAGGTTAAAATTTGGTTTGGAGGTTCATAAGGCTAAAGGCCTTTGGGTTTATCAGCTTCAGAAGTCCAATGACAACAATAATGTGGCAGACAGCAAACAATAAAATTAATTAAATTACAAAACTAATTGTGTAATGTAATCTCTACAATTACAACTAATTTAAATTACTCAATGTAATACATTAATTTGATTAAATAATACATTTAGAATGACTTTTAACAGTACATTCTTCTGACAACTATTCTCATATATGTATTGTAGTGGCTCCTTTATTGGTCTAATCTGCATTAAAATAGCGTATATGTACCAATGCAACAATATAACAATCTGTTTAATATCAAATAATTTCCTGAATAGGTACCGTTTTTTATTCTTGCACCTTATTTGACTTGTATTATAAACATTAGACTAGCAGTATCAGAAGTACAATCATATTTAATTATTTGTATGGCATAAATTGTTGCATAAATAGTTTCTCTCTCATTTCTTAGAGGAGCAGTTGGCATTGAAGTCCCTCACCTCTACTCTTGCAAAAAACTCTTCCTGCTCTTTCTCATACTCAACAACTCGAGGCGGCCAATCTTCCTTAAACCCAAGCCCACCAGTTGAGAGGCTCACAAAACCTTCTCTGACTAGAGCCAGCCATCGTGTCTATCACATCCCCAGCCAACCCATACAATTTCCTTCAAACCTCACAGAGTCTCACCTTTTCCAAATTTCTGATATCCCATCCCATTCTACTAATCAGTGTATGACTACCATTGCACCATCTGTCCTCTGTACCCACAACCACACTCATTTACCCATGGCTTCTCCAAAGTTAGGTGTGTCAGCAACCACAACCTCCTCTTCATCCTCCTCTGCTGCTGCTTCTCTCTGTGTGCCTCCACATCCTGGAAGCCACAGTTCTGTGCCTCAGGGTCCCCCAAGTCCAGTTACACCCTCTTCCAGCCCAAGCACGGTCCCTTCAGCCCCAGCATGTGCACCCGTCAGTATTGCTTTCATCTTGGAGGAGCTACGTGTGCTGCAGCAGAGGCAAATTCATCAGATGCAGATGACTGAAGAAATCTGTAGGCAAGTACTGAGATTGGGAGGAGGATCTTGTGAAGTGGATTCAAAACCATATATACTACCATCTCTGCCACAGCTCTGTTTAAAAGATTCTGATAACAACCCCAGAACCTCCCGACCAAAGTCATCACCTCCCCCTACCTCTGTGGCTCCTCTTTTGGCCTGTTTCTCATCCCTGCTACCCCCCCAGACCACCTCTAAGTTCTCCAAACATGCCCACCCTCTCTTGAATGTCTTACGCCCCCATAAAGCACAGTATGACAGGGGGGTAGTTACTCCAGCAAGCTTCACCAGTCATACAAGTGCTTCCACATCTTCATCAATGTCTACACCTGCTGCCTCAAACTATCCACTCACACTTTCTCTTGGCCTTCCATCCCAAAAATCATCCACCATAGGAGCTAGTGGACACAGTGGTGTGACCTTCCCAAACCAATCTATACCAGCAGCTGCTGTCCCTTCAGTCCCCTCACAGGATCCAAAACTCTCTGCTCAAGGAGGTACAACTGTCTTATCGTCAGGGCGTATGCAGCATGCTTGCCGATTTTGTCGGAAACTCTTCAGCACTGATTCATCCCTCCAAATACACTTGCGTTCACACACAGGGGAGCGTCCTTACCAGTGTCCTGTATGTTTCAGTCGATTCACCACACGAGGGAACCTGAAAGTCCACTTCTTGCGGCATCGTGAGCAAAACCCTGAACTCTCTTTTTCATTGTTTCCCTGTTCGCTTTTTGCATCTGTAACTGGAGGATCAATGGGAAGGCCAGCACAAACACAGAACTCCACCAATGCAAATGCTACTCAGAGGCATCAAAAACCGCAAGAGGATGATCTGTGTGGCGACAGTCCTGAGGGAACTACTGCCTCAACACGTGCCACAACCTCATCTCATCCTCCTAGTATTGATTTGGCCCTGCTGACCACTGCACACTCTCTCCTTCAGCTCAATCGTGCTGCTGCTGCTGCTGCCGCTGCTGCAGCCTCTACATCCACTACCTCCTCAATCACATCCTCATCACCATCCTCTCTGGCCTCCACCCTTCTTTCAGCTCCTGCCTCATCCACCTCCTCCATTGCTGGGGTGTATAAAGGAGTCAAACGCTTTGATGAGAACACCCCACCAATACCTACTCTGCTCCCCCATTCTGCTTACTCACAGCTTGCCAATTTACCCAAAATCTTCTTCCCAGCATCTTCCGCTCAGCATCATCCAGGCCATGGGTTTCTCAGGCCAACAACTCCAGCTGGATCGTTCCTGCCATCCCCACAACAACACATCACGTTCCCATTCACAGCATCATCCACTACCCCATCCATCTCGACCCCAACCTCGGACACATCGAAGCTGCAGAGGCTGGTGGAGAAGTTGGAGAAAGAACCACAAGGTCAGTCAAATTGGGTTTCATCCATTGGGGAGACTTCTACCAGCGGCCATAGTGTAGCAGGAGCATTAAGCTATAGCAGCAGTGGTTTAATGAGCACAAGCACATTCAGTACAAATGTGGTCACCTCACTTCCATCGTCTACAATCCAAATACCATCATCCCTCTTCAGCAAGGAGTCACCCTACCTGGGACTTATGAATTCTGCTGGGACACTTGCCCCTAATCAATGTAGTGTGTGTCTGCGGGTGCTAAGCTGCCCAAGAGCATTGCGTTTGCACCAGGCTACTCATTTAGGTGAGCGACCCTTCCCCTGCAAGCTATGTGGTCGTTCCTTCTCAACTAAAGGAAGCCTTCGAGCACACCTAGCCACCCACCGTGCCCGCCCTCCAAACAGTCGCGCCCAGAATTCTTGCCCCTTATGCCAGCGGAAATTTACCAATGCCCTTGTACTACAACATCATATCCGCATGCACTTAGGAGGACAGCTACCACCAGAGCACATGCCAGATACCTCAACAGAATGTGATATTTTGTCCCATTCCGAGTCTATTGAGCTCTCTGCTTCAGAAATCAGCCCTAGTGCTACAGATGTTCAGTTACTAGATGCTGATCTACAGACAGTTTCGGATGTTCCCATAACCTCCAGCCTACCTGCTTCACTTAGCTCAGGTTTTGTACCACCATTAGACCTAACCCCTGACCCATCCCTGAATCCAACCCCTCATTCACCTCCAATATTCAGAGCTGATTACCCTGAGCTCTCAATCAGTGTACCTTCTCCAGTGGAATCTGCAGCCTCCCTTGTCATTCTGGCCACCCAGTCAGCATCAGCAACAACTGGTCTTTCTACCACTGATGAACTATCTTTTGAAATTTCCAGCAACACTGCCTTCTTGGAAGATAAAAAAATGTCATGCTCCTCTGCTCTGAAGAAAGCAAGTCCACTAAGAGATGACTGTGAACATAGTGAAAATATATGTGTCTCACCTATTCCTTGCTCTGCATCCAGATCAAATCTGGAGGATCTTCTTGGTATACAAGGTCATAATGCATCCAGAGTTCCTCCACCACATTCAGAATCAACACCACCTTCTCTCCTTACGCTGGGATCTGAGAGTGCGTCTTCTCATACAGTACGCCTAGAGGAGCCTGACCAAAGCCTTCTCCAAATATCCAAATTAATCCCCCAAGAGTTCCCTAAGGAAGAAAAGATGGAAGATAAAATGCATAAAACACCAAAGAATGGACAAAGAACAACTCCAGATTTGAGTATTAATGCAGATACGGAATCAAACACTGTGAACAAGACAAATGAGGATGAGACTGAGGATTGTGACACACGTGTGCAGAAGACCATAATGGAAGCTCACTGTAGTTCAACTGCAAAGGATAAAGTGGATCATAAAGATATAACAGGAACTGAAATGGACAGAACAGAATCAACTGTATGCATATCACTGACTCCCAGTCTTCCACCTCCAATGCCAGAAAAAAAAATATACCACTGTTCTGAATGTGGAAAAGAGTATGCAAGTCGCAGTGGACTTAAGGTGATTCTGAATTCATTAAGCTAAACAATTATTGTCATCCAGGGTGAATATACAGTTCAGCATGGTACAATGTTAGTTACTCAAGAGATTTTCATCCTTGTCTTGGTACAATTTGAAAGTTTCATGACAATTAAATAACATCTCTTACTATAACTTTTAGGGACACATGAAGCACCATGGAGGAGTTGCCAAGGCACCCCGAGCTCCTGCAAAGACCAAGGGCCCAGAGAGAGTCTTGCATCATGAGCGGTCTCACCACCTTGCAACCTTCCTGCCACCAGGACATCAGTGAGTTTCTTGAACCAAGCCCTCCGAAAACATCAGCAAGCATCAGAGAGCTCTCCACTAGACCCTGTTAAAAAAAATCTGAAAAAAGTGTTAAAATGAATTTAATAGCTGACAAATGGGAAGGAACCTGAAGGATATTTTGGACTATGACTTGACTGAAAAAATAAATACAAAAAAAACACAACCCCACTCATGTGCACACAGTAAACACATAGAGGGTTATTTCTTGGTTTTGAAAATGTCTCTGATCTTTAACCCAGATCTTTTATATTAAAATACCTGCATTGTGTATTTTAATATATGTAATGATGTCTAAATATATCTTATAGAACTTCTTTGAATATTATGTGATGTTCTTTTAGATAAATGTTAATTGTTTTGTCTGTGTAAGGTAAGACGGATTTGTTTACTTTTCCAAAGTAAAGATCTTAAGGTAGCTAAGGATTTGAACAATAGCTTTGGGTGAGGAACAGACCAAAATTTATTAAGCCAATGATGACATAATTGATCACTTTCTCACTAAGAGTTATTGTATTGGCATACCATTTCTCTATTCTTAAATAACAACATTTAAAAAATATATGCAGTTTTTGATCAAAATCTATAAAAGATGGGATGGTAAAATTTGGAGGGAGTGTATTTCAAATGAAAAAATATAAAACGCACCTTGTCAATACCTTGTTCCAGGGCAGCCATGCACAAATGATTATCAAGCTCTTCAGTTTTCATAATAAGCTCAAATGTAAAAAAAAATAAAAATACCCTACTCAAAACGCTTAGTACAGACAGTGCAGCTGGAGCTAAGAGGAAGGAAATGTTAAATTGTTTTCATAAGGCAAACCAACCTGTGAACCAGTGCTTTTAACAAGCTGATATTTTAAACACTTCATAAAATTTACATTATGTAAATTCACATGAGATACTCTTGACTTGTACTAAATCTTCAGGCTTTTACGTAACAGTTTATCAGTTGGGAAGCACCAAAACACCAAACTGTAAATATGACCTGTCAAACTATGTCCATTGTGTCCATGTTTGTCCTGTCCAGCTGTACAGTATTAGACAATATACTGCTCTTAACATCAACTAGACTAAAGAGTAGGGTAAGATTGTTTAACAAGCCTGTATGTCAGTGTAAGCTCTTGTTACTTTAATATTGTTAGTGTAGCTATTGAAAAAGGTAGAAATAAATTGACTGATTCTGAGATGAACCATTATCTAGCTTAAAAGGTAACCCTTTCTATAATTCTTGGTGAAAATGTTTATTTCTTCGGTGATGTTTGTTCTTTGCCTGGATACTTTTACATGTATCTTCTATAGAAATGAATTGGGTGTATGAGTCTGACTGTAATATGTAGTTTCATGGTACAGCTAAAAGATAAAAAAGAAATAAAAACCAGTGTATTCATGACAAGAACTTGAATATGGAGTTCTTTTAATCATGCTCACTCTTTGTTGTTGTTTTTTAGAGTATAAATCTCATCTACAGTGATGTTATTCTTCCTTGGTGGTCTGAGGGAAACAGTTTTCTTCACGTACAGGCAACCCTAATCCGTTCACTCCCTAACACAATCAAACTCCTCTGCACTGCTTCTGTGTGTGCCACATCAAGCGCAGTGAGGGAGAAACTGGAGGAAGCCTTGACAATCTGTCTGAGGACTGGCCTCTAATCTCTTGCACCATGACAACCATGCAGAGGCACTGAAGGAAGCAGAGTATAGTCTGTGTTTGTTTGTAGGGGTATGTGTATGTTGGTGTGATGTTCAAATTCTGTATATATGGGTTTTTAAAATGAGTACTAAACCTGTATGAAAATAGTTTACAGAATTACAATTACAAATGCTGCACCTGAGAAGGTCACGTGTGTAAGCTCAGGGTAGAGTAAACTTCACAAAGCTGAAATTTATGGCAAGGGTGACTTTGGAAACTGCTTGTATCCAAGGCCAACGCACCACATCACAAATACTGCCATACTAAGTACAAAACCTTGGATATGAGCAATGGAAAAAAACATATATGGCCTAATAAATTATCTTTCACTTTGTTACATACTGAATGTCTTACTTTTGGAGAAAGTCACAGATGTTAAGCACATCCATAGACAGATAATAGCACATACAAACAGCTTCAAACACCAGGATGTTCAAATGGACCTCATGTTGCATTCAAACATACCTTAACATCATTGAACCTTTCAATAGAAGTAGATTTTCACCTCCATCTTTACACACAGCTACAAGAATGGAAGCTCTTCAAAAAATAAAAGGAAAGTTTATTAGACACTTGATATATATATATATATTTTTTTTTCTTATATACGAAACATGCAATGACAGAATCTCACCAGTAGGTGACGGTGTTGAGCCTTAGCTCTTCTAGACTGAAGACATAAAAACTGGAATTTTTTTTACAAACAAAAAAAAGTATACTGTACATCAGTTGCCACTGAAAGCTGTTAAATCATAAAATAATTGACTATGAGAGCCTGGATAAAAACACCATTGTAAACGTTTTAAAATGTAAATATTTAAGATGGTCCCAAACTAAAAATTGTATCAATTAATCGGTAATAAATAAAGGGAATATATATATATATATATATATATATTTCATACATTTTTCAGGAGTTTTGATGAATAGAAAGTTGTCTTTGAAATATTTTGTAGTATAATACATGTCTTTACTGTCACTTTTAATAAATTTAATGCAACTTTAATAATTTAATAATAATTTAATAATTAATAATTTATGCATTTAGCAGACGTTTTTATCCAAAGGACTTTCCAATGACTTCCTTATACACACACATATTTAATTCTACGGCTGTCACACTAACATAAACAATAACATAAAAAGATAAATTACATTAAATTAATGTCCTGGCATTATGCGCATATTTTTCTTTCCATTCAATCAGTTTAAATGAATCATTTTGTCATGCTTGTTTGCTTTAGCAATGTTTTGACCAGTCATTGAAGTAACGCAAACAGTCAGATGGTAAACACCAAACGAATGTCAAGCAAAACCATGAATTAAAATGGCAAAAGCTAAACAATAGCCTAGTTAGAGGGAAGAACTGTGGCAGATGAAGTATTTGCTCTGTCCACAAGGCCGAGCCAAGCAAAGCAGAAGAAGGTCGTCAGCAAGGCCATTAAGTTCGAGCAGTTGAAGGGAGCGGGATGGGCTTATGTTGAGGAGGGAGGGCTTTGGCTTTTCAGGATCCGTTTTTTGGCAATACCTATCGAGAGACCACGTCTACAAGCCCGGAGAAAGGGGCTGCTGTGCATATGAACCCGAAGATTTGAACCAAGTAGCGCAATGAAATAGAAATAAGACAAAGAGAAATTTCGCAAGGAATGTTTATCTTCATACTGCGTTCTGTCGATGCAACATTTTCAGCGCTTAGTACATAAAGCAGTATGATTTTATGACTATAGAGTATCAGTCACTGCGATGCAACAGTAATCTATAGCAGTAATTGTTTACATTTTGATCAACTTCAGCATTCTCCCTTTCTCCTGGAGAAGTCCAAGTTCTCGTTGATTTTGTACCACAAAAGTGGTAGGCGCTAGCTTTTTTTAAAGCGTGGTTATGTTTTGACAGTTGCAAAAGCAGCCGAACTTTATTAAGATTAATACACGTATTTTCAAAAAGGACTCATCGACAGAAGAATGAATTGGAGCCAGTTAACGGAGCTGTTGCTCCTAATATTTGTGTGCGCGCACAGATCGTCCTCAAAACAAGACAGGAAACCTGAGGTGAGTATAGTGCCTTTTTCTCGAGATATATACAAATATTTATTACTGATAACACATCCAGATCCATTGTGCGGTGGCAGATGTTTTATGTTGTGAAGATTTTCTTGTGTGAAGGACTGGACATGCACCGATGCATGTAAGAAAAACGTTATATTCAAGAAATAATAATAATAATAAAAAAAGCATTCCGTATCACATCATATTGCAACTGTATAACAATTAGCTATGTGCTGAAATCCATATAAATAAAATACGTCAAGCAAAATACGTCAAATAAATTGAATATTTTTTCTTGACAATAGTCTACTTATACTATACAATCTTCTTTATGCATACCTTCACTGAAGTAGGTAAATGCTTGACTGATAAAAACAGACTCATGCTGTACAGATTTAGGGAGACTGATATATATTGGGGTCCTTAATTTAAAGTCTTAGTAGTGTGAATCTCACAATACCTGTCAAGAACATGTGGGGGGTCATGTTTAACCACAAAATAAAAATAAATAAATAAATTTGGCATAAAGAATATTAAGCCTTTTTGCATTAAGATTAAACAAATTTTCTTTTACAATTTTAATTTTAGAAGCACAGAAAATCTCATTCTCATTATGGATTTGTACATTTCTGTGTCTTATTTCACCCCTCATCTTTAATTTATCTCAAATTGAAATAAACATAAAAATATGACAGTAATTTTTGAATCTTATGACAATCATTCTCTCAAAATAATAGGAATTAGCAATAAAATAAAATGAAAAAAAAAAATAGAAACATCCAGACATTTCAGGAGGGAATGTGCTTAAATGTTGTGAAAATAATATGACGCAAAACAACTTAATGGTCCTAAAATAATAATATGCTTTATTTTCATTTTTATTAAAAATATACTGTGACATGTTTTCAAGAGATTTTTCCAACTATGCAATTGGAATGTACATATCTAATTATATCACACTAATTTCCAAAATAACTTTGAAAAGTTGAGTGAAATCCAGAAAGGATTATATTATGGATGTTATTACCATTGTGAGCTTCTAAAATCAAATCTTTATATGGGAAAGTCTTTACCAGCTGCAAGTCATTTGCATTATTCAATCACAAATGTTTAGCTTTAAGAATCTCTGATATTTCTGCTCAGTGATCAAAGTAAAAACTTAGAAAATAGGAGAGGAGTGGAGGATTCTGAATTAAGGTCAAGTGAGAGACCGCAGAGAGAAAGATGCTGAGGATGCAAAAGAAAGAACGAACAATTACCACAAGAAAACAGGAAGAAAAGTCATGACTGTAATGTTGTGGTCAGAGGGTGGATGGATATGCTGAGGATGAGTTTGGGGGGAAAAGGTTTTTCTGCTCCTATAAGCTGCGGGATTTAATGGATGACATCTGTCCTTATAGTTATGGTCAAAAAAGAGAGAAGGGGTTTATACAGAGCGGAAAACTTCATATGGGCTCTTTTCTTCCTCTCTTTCTCCATTTCGTCTAACAGGAAGTCATCACAATCCTGCAGGAAGTTCTCCTAATTCCTTAAGGATATCCTTATGTTATAGACTCATGCACACCTGTGGTTTTGAACAATATTAGTGTCAATATCCACTTCCCTTTGTTGTGAAAGTCATTTACTCCCACACAAACCATGACATGCTATTTTTGATACACCTCTCGTCATTGACAGCAATGGACAGGTCTTGGATTAATCACCTGAAGAGTGCTACTAAATTTATGAAGAACTTCTAGGGAGTTTTACATCATAGTGCTTTATTGGGATGTGCATTTGGCCACATATAGCTAGTCACATCTTTTATAGGACAGAACCAGAGGAAATGGCCAGGGGATTTTCCATACGGTCTTGACCACATGGCTTTAGGACAGATGTGAGATGATGCCAGCAGTTAGTGATGTAGTGTCAAAGCGTAAGGAAGGAAGTGGGATGTGGAAGGGGGTAGCATGTTACAGAAAAGAGACACAAAGAGATGGGAAAAAATTGAGTTGATCTTTTCAGACAGGAAATGTGGTGGGGTGTGAATGATGCAAGTCTGCATAAAGAATAGAAGTTATTGTAGGATGAAAAGTGATGTCATTTCAGAAGCAAGAGAATAACAGAAAAATGAAAGGCTGAATTGGACTACAAATTGTCCAGTTCCTGTGTCACTTAAGGCCAAACAACCCACAGTTGTTTGCAGTAATTCTGGAACGTATTGGAAAGATAATTCCCAACATCCTTTCCTATTTAATAGTAATGTTCTCATTATGGACTTTCCATTTGAAAAGATTATTTTTCATCAAACAGCCAAGTGCCTCAAGTGTAAAAATCTGACCCACTCATCTATAAAATAACTAGTAACTTCAGACTTTTTCCACAGAGCATCCAACCACCAGTATCCATAAAAAAATTAATAAAAAAATAAAATAATTAAAAAAAATAATACAATTGGAATACCTTCTTTCTTATAGAACCACTGATCAATAGAATAGAATTTATTCCTAATTTGAATTAAATACAAGGAATTTAGGGACTTCACAGTGCATGGATTTGCAGAGTAAACTTTGTTTTTGTGATAGGTAAACTTCAGTGGTAAACTTGTGGTTGATGTTACAGTGTTGATACATTTAGCCAGCTGTTGAGGTTCATTAGCGTAACCTGAGCAGTTGAA